AAGAAAGAAAGAAAGAAAGAAAGAAAGAAAGAAAGAAAGAAAGAAAGAAAGAAAGAAAGAAAAGAAAGAAAAGAAAGAAAGAAAAGAAGGAAGAAAAGAAGGAAGAAAGAAAGGAAATTCTTGCTAAGGGGTGCCTGGATGGCTCAGGTCCTGATCCCAGGATCCTGGGATCAAGCCCAGAGTGGGGCTCCCTTCTCAGTGAGGGGTCTGCTTCTCCCTCTCCCTCTGCCCCTCCCCCCTACTGCTGGTGCTCTCCCTCTCACTCTCAAATAAACAAATAAAATCTTAAAAAAGAAAAAAGGAAAGAAAGAAATTCTTGCTAATATGTAAGCTAAGGGGTGGCCGTAGACTACTCTTAGATTACACGGTAAAAATAAACTGGAAAAGAATGAACAAGACTCAGAAGATCATTTGATTTGGTAAATGAAATTGTCTGGGGGAATAGCCACCTGGACTCTCTAGTTCCAGAGTTATTTCACATTTTCAATCTAGCATAGCATTCCTCACAGCAGGAAAGTCACTTCATTTCTGAGATGTTGTAAGTGATGCTGCAAAATTGAACATGATTCACTAGGACCAAAATAAGAAAAAGTGATAAAATGGCTGATAAATATAATTTTCATATAAAACTTTCAATCGAGTTTAAAACAAAATTTTAAAGTTTTTGTTCTTGATAAATCTGCTAAGTTAGACTGAACTAATAATTATTTGAAGTTTAAATGTGCATTTCATATTTCTATCGATTCAGTTTAATTTACTGAATATATCTACCCTCTACATTTTATAGAAAGATATTTGTAAAAACTGTGTATATCCACTGGTGTAAATAGAGGAAAATAATAGCTTCCAATGAAAAGGATAAGTATTGGTTCCAAATTGTCCATTTCCCTGACAGTTTATTTGAAAAATATTAGTCAATTAATTCAGAAAATCAAACCTCAGTTGTCTTCTTCAATTTTCAGCATTTTGTTGCTGTTTTTTATTTTGTGTTGGGCAGTTTGCTGGGGTTTTTTGGGCATGACCTGAGCTAAATATGTTGAATCCTTGAAACCTTGTAAAGTAAGCGTTAATACCCCCGTTTTACAAAGAAAGAAACATGCACTCCAGCAACGTGTCCAAGATCCCAGGGAAACAGCCAGAGTCTGACTCCAGACTCAGGTCTGCACAGCAACCCTGCCCTTTCCTCAGGCCTTGGGCCATCAGGCAAAATAGCGTCGCCGCCTATGGTGAGGGAGCTACCGCAGGATGGTGAATTGGCTCCCTCATGGTCTCGTCTCAGCTCAAAGCTTTTTCTCGTGGCTCTCTGTTACAGAAAATGGTGTGTGTGTGTGTGTGTGTGTGTGTGTGTGTGTGTGTCTCCTCTTTATCCATTCATGTGTTGGTGGATACTTAGGTTGTTTATCTTAGCTATTGTAAATAATGCTGCTATGAACATAAGCTTGCATGTGTCATTTTGAATTAATCTTTTCATTTTCTTCAGATACATACCTGGAAGTAAAGTTGCTGGATTGTATGGTAGTTCTGTTTTTAACTTATTGAGGAATTTTTATATGCTTCCATAATGGCTACACCAGAACATGAGAGTTCCCTTTTCCCCACATCCTCTAACCCTTGTTATTTCTTTTTTTTTTCTTTTCTTTTCTTTTCTCTTTTATTTTCTTTTTTAATTTGAAATACAACTTTATTGTGATTCTAAACGAAAAGGAATGGGAATGACAGTGACAAACAAGATTTCACCACTAGATACTGTTACGGGACTACAGCAGTCTCATATCTGAAACTCAGGAAGGAAACAACTGCATTCCAAAACAGCTAAATATGCAGGTCCAAAAAATGAAGGTACTTTTTAAACTGCCACATTCACTCCGAAGCCCATTCATCTCCTTCAGCATCTCAGAGATTAAGCACACGCTCTGCTCAGCTATATAATAAAGTGGCAAATGCGCTGCACCACTGACATCACAGGACAGTTGCATATAAAACTAGACTTCTGACGCTGGGCTCCAGCTGCATGTTCTCACAGGTCATCATCCTCATCCGGGAGAGCAGTTGTCTGAGCAACCTCTAGATCATGCTCATACTTTGCTGCCAAAGCTGGGTCCATGACAACCTCTGGCGGGGCGAGAGCAGACATGGCGACAAACTCCAAGTTAGGGTTTCCAATTAGTTTTCTAGCAAGCCACAGGAAGGGCTTTTCAAAGTTGTAGTTACTTTTGGCAGAAATGTCATAGTACTGAAGATTCTTCTTTCGGTGGAAGACAATAGATTTTGCCTTAACTTTCCTGTCCTTAATGTCTACTTTGTTGCCACACAGCACAATGGGGATGTTCTCACACACTCGTACCAGATCTCTATGACAGTTAGGCACATTCTTGTAAGTAACCCTTGACATGACATCAAACATTATAATGGCACACTGGGCTTGGATGTAGTAGCCTTCCCGCAGCCTGCCGAACTTCTGGCCAGCCGTGTCCCACACGTTGAACTTGATGGGTCCCCTGTTGGTGTGGAACCCGAGCAGGTGGACTTCCATGCCCAAGGTGGCTACATACTTTTTCTCGAACTCCCCCGTCAGGTGATGCTTCACAAACATCGTCTTCCTGGTGCCGCCGTCACCAACCAGCACCAGTTTGAACTGGACTTGGGTCTCTCCCTGGGCAGCCATGGTGCTGGTGCTTCCAGAAATGTCTCCGGCCCGTCTGACTCTCTTTTCTTTTTCTTTTCTTTTTTTTTTTTTTAAGATTTATTTATTTATTTATTTGAGAGAGAGAGAGAGAGAGAGAGAGAGAGAGAGCATGAGCAGGGGGAAGGGCAGAAGGAGAGGAAGAGAAATCTTCAAAGAGACTCCCCACTAAAGTATGGAGCTCGATCCTATGACCCTGAGATCATAACCTGAGCTGAAGTCAAGAGTTGGATGCTTAACTAACGGAGCCACCTAAATGCCCCTCTTTTTGCAACAACACCATTCTGACATATGTGAGGTGATATCTCCTTGTGGTTTCGATTTGCATTTCCTTGATGGTTAGTGATCCTGAGCATCTTTCCATGTGCCTGGTGGCCATCTGTATGTCTTCTCTGGAAAGATATCTATTCAGGTCCTCTGGCCATTTTTTAATTGGACTATTTGGTTTTTTGAGTGTTGAGTTGTAGGAGTTCTCTACAGAATTTGAATGTTAACCCCTCATTGTATCTATCATTTGAGAACATCTTCTCTCATTCATTAGATTGCCTTTTCATTTTATTGATGGTTTCCTTTGCTGTGCAAAACCTTTTTGGTTTGCTGTAGTCCCAGTTGTTTATTTTTGCTTTTGTTTCCCTTGCCTGGGGAGGCATATGCAGAAAAGAGTTGCTTCACAGTTGAATTCTACCAAATATTTAAAGAATAGTTAAAACCTATCTTTTTCAAGCTCTTCCCAAAAAATTAAAGAGAAGGAAGAGCTTACAAACTCATTTTACATGGCCAGCATTACCTTGATACCAAAACCAAACAAGGATGCAACAAAAAAAGAAAATTACAGGCTAATACACCTGATGAATATACATGAGAAAATCTTTAACAGAATATTAGCGAACTTAATCCAACCATAATTGAAAGGATTATATACCACGATCAGGTGGGATTCCAGGGATGCAAGGATGGTTCAACATCTGCAAATCAATCAACATAATATCACATTAACAAAATAAAAGATGAAAACCATAATTATCTCAATATATGCAGATAAAGCATTTGACAAAGTCAATGTCCATTCATGATGAAAACTCACAACAAAGAGGATTATAGAGGGAATATACCTCAACATAATAAAGGTCATATATTAAAATCCTATAGCTAATATTGTACTCAACTATGAAAGACCTGCACCCTGAAAATGATAAGACACTGATGAAAGAAATTGAAAAAGATGCAAATAAATGGGAAGATATTCTGTGCTCATGGTTAGAAGAATTAATATTGTTAAAATGTTCATATTACCTGGGTCAATCTGCAGATTCAATGCAATACCTATCAAAATTTCAAAAGTATCCTTCATAGAACTAGAACAAATTCTAAAATGCATATGGAACTACAAAGGTCCCGAATAGCCAAAGCAATCTTGAGAAAGAAGAACAAAGCTAGAGCCATCAATCTCCCTGATTTCAAACTATACTACAAAGCTATCATAATCAAAACAGTGTGGTATTGATATAAAAACAGACACACAGATCAATGGAACCAAATTGAGAGCCCAGAAATAAACCCACACATATATGGACAATTCATATATGACAGGGGAGTGAAGAACATACAACAGAGAAAAGACAGGCTTTTTAATAATGGCAATTGGAAAACTGCACAGCCACAGGCAAAAAAAATGAAACTAGATCACTATTTTATACCATACATAAAAATTAAAGACTTAAGAAATCCAAATAAAAAATAGATTAATTTTAAAAATATGTAGATATGAACAAATGTAAAAACTATTGATAGTGTATATTTCAGAGGAAATAATGAATTAGAAATTTCATATTCTGTATTTTCTATTTCTACAATGTAATTAACTGTAGTTTGGGTTATTTTTATAACCGGTAAGAGTATAAAAATTATTTTGAAAAAATTTCGTTGAAAGAAATTTCAAAATGAATTAATCCTTTACAGTAGAGGGGTGGGGGAAGGTGGTGGGAGTGATTTTCTTCTCAAAAATGTTCAATAAAAGCTCCTAGTCTTACCAAAAAAAAAAAAAATTACTAATCAGCGAATTGCAAATCAAAACGGCAGTGAGGTATCTTCTAACACCTGTTAGAATGACTATTGTCAAAAAGGTAAGAAATAGCAAGTGTTTGAAAGGATGTGGAGAAAAGGAAAACTTCAGGCACCACTGTACATTAGTGCAGCCATGATGGCAAACATCATGGAGATCCTTCAAAAATTTAAGACTAGAACTACCATATGACCCAGCTATTCCAGTTTTGGGTATTTATCTGAAGAATATGAAAACATTAATTCAGAAAGACATATGTGTTCCTACATTCATTGCAGCATTATTTACAGTAGCTAAGACATAGAAAAACCCAAGTGTCCATAGTAGATAAATGGATAAAGAAGATATGATATAATTATACAATGGAATATAACTCAGCCACAAAAAAGAGCTATCTTGCCATTTGCAATAATATGGATGGGTGTTATACTAAGTGAAACAGATCAGACAGAGAATGACAAGTACTGTATGATTTCACTTATATGTGGAATCTGAAAAGGAAAACAAACAAACCAAATAAAACAAAAACAAAGTTACAGATACAAAGAACAGACTGTGTTCACCAAGAGGGGAAGGGCATCAGGGAGTGGGTGAAGGGGGTGGAGGGGGTTAAGTCTATGGTGATGAGTGGTAACTAGACTTGGGGTGGGGATAACGATGTAGTGTATTCAACAGATGTTGAACCATAAAACTGTACACCTGAAACTTGCATAATAAAAACACGACAACAAAACTAACTTTACATTTCTGACATAAATGCCATTTGATAATGTATAAATAATCATTTATATCATACTGGCTTTGGTTTGTTATTTTTTCTTTTTTTTTTAACTAAATTTCCTTGTGAAATATCTTTTTTTTTTTTTTAAGATTTTATTCATTTATTTGACAGAGATCACAAGTAGGCAGAGAGGCAGAGAGAGAGGAAAGGAAGCAGACTCCCCATTGAGCAGAGAGCCCTATGCGGGGCTCGATCCCAGGACCCTGGGATCATGACCTGAGCTGAAAGCAGAGGCTTTATCCCACTGAGCCACCCAGGTGCCCTGTTTGCTAGTATTTTCTTATGGATTTCCACATCTACACTCATAAGGGATATTGCTCTGTAGTTTTTCTTTGTCGTGATATTATTGTCTAATTTTGGCATCCAGGTAATTCTGGTCTCACAGAATGCATTTTCCTGCGTTTTAAACACTGCTGTTCTCTATCAGGTCGCTGTCAAGTGTTTTCACTTTCTTGAAAAGTTTATGTATCTACAGATATTCCTGATATGGGTCAATAATGATTGATAAAATATTCATCCACTTAATAAATATTTACAATGAAATCAGTTTTTAGAAGACTTTTGTCAGCCTATTCTGGCTTCAGTCCATAATAGTTATATTTTAACTCTATTTAGCATTCCTAGGAACATCCAGACTCTGTGTAGGAACTGGGAAGGTGACTCTGGATAAGAAAACCACTAGGACGAGGCGCCTGGGTGGCTCAGCGGGTTAAGCCACTGCCTTCGGCTCAGGTCATGATCTCAGGGTCCTGGGATCGAGTCCCACATCGGGCTCTCTGCTCAGCGGGGAGCCTGCTTCCCTCTCTCTCTCTGCCTGCCTCTCTGTCTGCTTGTGATCTCTCTCTGTCAAATAAATAAATAAAATCTTTAAAAAAAAAAAAAAAAGAAAAGAAAAAAGAAAACCACTAGGACAATCCCTGAGTGTAAGTCTGTTGGGAGATGCAGAGCAGCACGTTGCCCTTAGCATCCAGTGTGCTAAGTTCCATTGTAGGAGAACAGTCAACAGTCAACAGGGAAGTACCTACGTCTGACCTAAAGAGAAGAGGTTAGACAGTGTTCACCACAAGTGGTGTCTAATCTGAGACCTGAGAGAGTAGGCTTATTGTTCTGGAGAAAATGAGTGGATATTGAGCGGAAGAGGCTCAAGCGTCTCCAGATACTGAGGAAGCTGTGGATGAGGTGGGCATGGGGCTGAGAACTGAGGGATTCTGTGAAAGGGCACCCTCTGACCTGGGGCTCCTAAGGCCCCTTCCACACCTAATTCCCAGAATGAATCTGGGCATCAGGGTATATTCTTCCCCAGAGAGAGACTGGAACAGTCTCCTGTGGAGACACTGAACCCAACCTATTGAAAAAGACAAAGTCTGAAAGGACTTGCTTGCTGTCTGATTATCTAAAATAATTTCACAGTCATGTTTGCAATTTCTTTCCCTCCTCAGGAACTCGAGGACATTTCAAGAGCATTTAAAGCTGTTAGGCACTTGAACTAGCTCTTCCTCTCCCCGGGGATTTGGTTCTCTTAGCAGGGCGGTCTTGCTTCCTTTCCCGACTACAGATTGTGTTCCCTTGACACAGAAGTGTCAGAGCCAAGAGTTCAGATGGCTACTCTCTGGGTGAGCAGTGCCTCATCTACTCCTGAGCACTGACCCTGCTCTTCTTACTCTCTCCTTCTTCTGTTCCTAGCAGACAAATGATTTTATAGCAAAGGAAACCTCACTGAATCTTCATGGAGTACAAGAAGTTTTGCTCAATCTACCGAAAGGCTAAACAAAATTTTAAATGTTCTTTATTAGGTGGACACCGTCTTTTGTCAAGTTCAACAGACATGCATGCCCCCAGAACATCTAAAGCTGCATACACCATAGGAATCTGCATCAATAAAGTCAGACTCTCAGCTGCTTAAAGCATGAAAGTGCAGCCAGACCTCAGCTGACCCAGGCAACCCCGATGCACGGTTCCACCTCCAGTGTGTACTTCAAGAACCCCTCTTTGCCCTCTGCTCTCCCCACCATTTATTACTTAAGACTTTCTAAGTTGATCGTTACAATGGCGGCACAATCGCCAAATCCTACATTAAGATGCTGTTACAGGCTCTCCCCTTTTTTAAATTGGTAGGCGTTTTTCAAACTATCCCATGGTGGGCGGGGGGCTC